GGTAATTTATGTTCATGTCACCAATACAGAATAGCTTTTTATGTTCAACATTGCTTGTTGTATATATTTGTTTCATAAAACTTGAAAACATTATAATATCTCCGTCGGGCGGTCTATAACAAGAGGATATTAAGAGATTTTTTGTAGTATTATTAATGACTTCAACTGTAAAGACCTCACTATTTGAATCAGAAATAGAAAGATCATTTCTAATTTTTGTGTTTAAGTCATTATGGATGTAAGTTATTATTCCACCTCCTCTTTTGTTAGCTTTTCTTTCATAAGAGATAAGATTATAATTAGGGATTAGGAGGTTTGAATTTGTATAAGAATTTTCGTCAGAACACCAAGTTTCTGTAAGACAAATCATGCTAAAGGAATATTTGCATTCGAAAAGGAAAATTTTTAACTTATCGATATTTGTATTTAAGCTCCTAATGTTTATGTGTATTACCGTAAACTCGTCTATATTGTTATGAAGTTCAGCTTTAAAAGTTTTAGTATCAAAGTATGGAGAGTCAGGTCCATTAAGAATAAATAAATCGTCGTCGTATAAATCATTCGCAAAGATATTATTTTTAGTTTTAAAAAAGTCAAAACGCAACTTATCAAAATCTTTTGTTATAAAATCATTAGCCATGACGAAAAAAGAATTAAATTAATTTTTTTTTTTTTTTTAATAGAATAGAAACTGTTTTAATTAAATTAATAATTGGTTAGCAACAACATTAACAACAAAAAATAAATCCACTTTAGAATGCTGTAAGTTAAAATTTGTAATAAAATCTCAGCTTTAGACTTGTTAAAGAAAAGCCGCAAACTTACATTATCAAGTTTTGATTGAACTCAAAAATATCTAAAGACGAGGGAAATTTAAAAAAACTCCACTTAGAAAATAAAAAACCCACCCTATTAAACTAAAAAAAAAAAAAAGTACTAAAACTTATTCACAAAATAAATAAATAGTTGCAAACAAGGCTGGCGCAATGTGGGTGTGATCCCCTGATTTTTTCGTTCGTTTAGTCGGCAAATTTGACCCGTTTTGACTAGTTTGTGACCCTTTCGACAGGTTATTCGGTAAATTTAGACAGTCGGTCAGCAAATGCCGTTCTGGCATTCGACAAATTTTAAAAAGTGAGAAACTTTTTTTTTTTTTTAGTCAGCAAAAGTTGTATTGGCACCCCCCTACGTGACACCTACTCGCGCCGGCCTTGGTTGCAGAATCTGTTTTTATGTGGGGAAGAAAGAATTATCTGAATTTCTCAATGCAATCATGGAATTTTAAAACATTTAGGTACGTTTATAATAATTTAAAAATATCGTATTTTGAAGGTATTCAAGAAAAACATTTAAAATAGCGCAACGAAACGACAAAATCAACTTTTTTATAAACTTCATATAAAACAAGAATGAATGGAATTATTATATACAGCTTTTGAAACTTTAGTTATTTAGAAAACAATTTTTTTGAAAATTTGTTTTAGTTGTCTTTAGGGGCCCCTCAAATATTTTAGAGGTTCTTTTTTTTTTTTTTCATTTTTTATAGTCATTTTTAGACTCTGACCCATAAAAAGGCCTCCAAAAATAAAAATAGCCCGGGCCCCAAGAAGTCTTAATCCGCCACTGGCTTTTTAAATCAAAAACTTGATTTCAAAAGCATGTGTTAATAAACCTTTTGCTAAATAATTGCAATTACTTATGGTTAAAACTTTGCGAATAATTCATTTTTTAATGTTTTGATAAAAATCATTTCAGTGAATTTTGTTGTTTTTTGTCCAGTGAAACTTGTTTTTTTTTTAATTGTCGGTTACATACATACTTCTGAGACGACTTGAAATTGCTTTAATATTTGCGACTTGATGAACTTTCATCTGTTTTATACTTCCATGATGCAACTAAGACATAAAACAAACTCGAAAAAAAAAAGCCTATAATTTGAAACAAATCCGATTAGTTGGTAATAGGCCTGTAAATCGAGCCAAGCTTGCCAGAGCTTCGCTCGGCTCGTTTACATATTAAGAGTGTTCAGGCTCTGCTCGAGCTTGTTTCGAGATGTTCGAGCTTTTTAAGGATTAGTATTGTTTGGGCTCGGCTCGTTTTACATGTTGCTCGAGCTCGACTGGTTTAAAACTCAAAATAATAATTGTAACCTGTTAGTTTAAAGCTCGTTTAGTAAAAAAAATGTTCAATGTTCAAACATAATGTAAACTCTCACAAACATAATAATTCCTATTAAACACTGCACTTTTTAAATTACATTAACAAGATAAAAAGCCTTCCTCTAATTCTCTTGAAATTGAACCTCAAAAGTGAGCTGAAAATCTGAAATTTTACAACAAACTTGCGAATTGTATTTTAAAGTTAGAAAGTTAGTAGTTCGAAGTAATTCGAATATTAAAATTTATATTTTAGTTTATATTTTTTAAGTTAAAAAAATGTCTGTTGAGCACTAATTTATTGTTCTAGATTAAGTAAATACAAGTTTTTAGCAAAAACAATAATTCACGACTTTACCTGATTAAATAGCAGATAAAATAAACAAACATTCAATATATTATTACGAAACATTTAGTTATGCAACTTGAAAAAATACCTCTCTACAAGTTAAAAAATAGCTCCTTCAACAAAATCATTATGAAAAGAGCTTGAAAAAAAAGTTTTATATATTTAATTTTCTGTTTTGCATAATTTGTACACTCTTAAATCCATAAAAAATGGTCTAAAACATATTGGGCCTGTTGGAATATGACAATAGTCAATAGCAGCCTCACGTAATTAAATTACCCTAGTAGCAAACAATATTGGCGCAATATTGGGGTGATATTGTTTACAATATTGGCGCAATATTGTAAACTATATCGGGCTAATGTTGCAATGTGAACATGTTGCCAATATTGGTCAATATTGGCGCTACAGTATTGCGCTAATATTATAAAGTCAATATTGGCCAATATTGGCAATACAATATTGCCCCAATACTGTAAAGTCAATATTGGCAAAATGTTCACACTGCAACATTGGCCCGATATAGTTTATAATATTGCGCCAATATTGTAAATAATATCGCGCCAATAATGGGGATATTATACTGGCCAATATTGGCCTAATATAGTTTACAATATTATCCTGATATATATAATATATACTAGGTTGGTTGAAAAGTTCGCGGAGCGGCACCTATGTTGCAGTAGTAGAAACAAATTTATAACTGTATTAAACGTATTCATTCTTCGTATGAACGCATAAAAAATTTCAAGTCGATATGTCATTTCAGTCTTTGTTTACAAGCTATTGAAATTAGACGTGTCATAGTATTTTTTTAAATGGAAAATATTGAACATCGTGCTGTAATAAAATTCTTTGTGAAAAAAGGTTTAAAGCCCATGGAAATTCATAATGAAATGGTAAATGTGTTGGGTGATGATGCTCCTTCAAAAACAACAGTATGCAAATGGGCTGCGGAGTTTCAACGTGGGCGTTCAAGCCTTGAAGATGACCCTCGCTCTGAACGTCCAAAAAGTGCTACTACTGAAGAAACGATTAATGCTGTGCATGACATGGTTATGGATGATAGACGATTGACCAAACGTGAAATTGCTGAGGCTGTGGGCATCTCAGATGAACGGGTATTACACATCTTGCACGATGAATTACGTCTGAGAAAGCTGTTGGCAAGATGGGTGCCGCATTCGCTAACTCTGTATCAGAAACGCACTCGAGTAAAACTTTCTCAAGAACATTTGGCCCGTTTTCAAAAGAATAAAACAGATTTTGTGCGTCGATTCGTAACCATGGATGAGACTTGGGTTTACCACTATGATCCGAAGCTGCGACAACAAACTGCAGAGTGGACAGAACCCGGTTGTTCAGCTCCGAAGCAAGTGAAGGCGTCAAAATCGTCAAAGAAGGTTATGGCATCAGTTTTTTGGGATGCGAAAGGAATTTTATTAATAGATTACCTTGAAACCGGTAAAACGATAACAGGTGAATATTATAAAAATCTTTTGGACCAGTTGGATAAACAAATTCGTGAGAAAAGACCTGGTTTGCTGCATAAAAAAATCATTTATCACCAGGACAACGCACCTGCTCATATCAGCGATGTTGCAAAGGCGAAATTGGTCGAATTAAAGTACGAACGCTTGGAACATCCACCCTATTCAACAGATCTGGCTCCGTCCGACTTCCACCTCTTTCCACATCTCAAAAAATTTCTACGTAGAAAGCGTTTCTCATCACATGAAGAAGTCATTGCAGCCGTAAATGGGTATTTTGAAGGCCTTCCGGAATCGCACTTCAGAGATGGGATACATGAATTGGAGAATCGTTGGAAAAAGTGTATTGCTCTTAAGGGAGAATATACTGAAGAATAAAGTCATTTTTTGAATCATAAAATTGTTTTTTCATTTCCGCTCCGCAAACTTTTCAACCAACCTAGTATAACTAAATTAAGGCAATATATTGAGCATTTTCGATTAAATTTTTATTATTAAAAAATAATAAAAAATATTGCCTTCTACAAATTTGTAATAATTAAAATTACTAACAGTTTTCTTGTTTAAATGATACTATAGTACTAGGCTGCATTATTCTTTTGAGTTAAACAGGTTATAGTCTAGGAGATGACAATAATCATAGAACACGCTTTAAGAAAAAAAAATTTGAAATCATTAAATTTATTTGAAGTTATATGAAACAGATACAAAGGAAAAAAAGAGGTATAGAGTTTTCCAAAACCAAAATATAACAAAATAAAATCAATGTTATTTAAATACACGTACAAAAAATATGTATATATATATATATATATATATATATATATATATATATATATATATATATATATATATATATATATATATATATATGTATATATATATATATATATATATATATACATATATATATATATATATATATATATATATATATATATATATATATATATATATATATATATATATATATATATATATATATATATATATATATATAAAGTACTGTATTATACTCTCACTATGAGATAGTGGGCATCGACTTTCATTATATTGGCGATACTTATTTCATTGCTCAATATTGGGCGTTGCTCAGTTACGGTTCTATTTTTCTTCCGTAATCTCTATTAATGGCCGTCGCCAGAAAGCTGCCAATTTTTTCTTTAATACTTTTGTCAGTAACGATTTCGAAATGAACAAATACAACGATAAACGACTAAACGCAACTCTACAAAATGTTTTTTAAATATCATCACAATATAATTTTGAAATATATAACTTTTCACGTATAAATATTGTAAAGTAATTAACTTTTATTAAAATATTTATTTATTAAAAAGAAATGGGATGTAGAGTACAAAAATTGTGCTTTACCTATAACGACCTTGCAGGACGTTTTTGTTTCATTCCATACACTGAGTATGAAAAACATATTTCTTTGGCCATTAGCTGTATTAAGATTGCCGCTGTAAGTTGTTTCTCATCTCCTCCAACCAAAGTAAGAAAGTTCATCTAAAATAAGAAAACAAATGTAAAATAATTGGTTGTACTAAAAGTATAATGGTTCCTCATGTGTATGTATTAGACATGTTTTCCATAATGTGATTCTTATTAAAATATGACATTATGGAAGAGTAAAAGCAACTGGTTATAAATAGATTATGACATCTGTAGTGGTGAATACACCCTACAGATGTCATAGATATCTGAGATAGTCATTGCTACACAAAATACAACGCTAACTGGGCATAAAAGATAAAAATCACAATAAAATGTAATAAGCATTTATATAAAACATTCTGATATACAACATAATTATAGTCAATCACGTATCATGTTGGATCATTTGTTTGTATGTTTCATATAAATGTATCATATATTTTACATGGTACTGTTTCCAAAAACTATTAACTAATATCAATTCACTGATATATACTATTGATTCATAAGGTGTCTTTGTTCCATAATTTTTCTTCTAGGTTTAGAAGATCTTTTTTCATCGATAATCTTCAAATAAATTAAATAAATCAAAAGAGATAGTCAAGCAAAGCTCTGATGGAATCACTTAACCCTAAAACACTAAAGATTTCTTCAATCTTTGAGAAACTGAGAGGCAATCTCATTAGTGTAACTTTTTTTGTAACCTGCATCTTTTTAAGCTGGAGGCACAGATAATTATTCTAAAGCAGTCTCATAACTGTCAAAAAAAAGTATAAAGAAGAGATGAAACCATAATAAACAATCAACATTTACTATATTTGAGTCAAACATAGCTGTTTAGATAAACAAAGATAAAAAAGACAATACTGTAAATAAAACAAAAACAATATTTTAAATAAGACAATTACCAAAAATTCTTATTTTCAGCTGCTTTCAGTTACTTTTAAAAGCGTGACTTTACGTATGGCAGTTTAATAGCAAGATGCTTGCAAATGATTTGGCCAATACACCAAACTTTCATAGATACCCCATGAAAAACAGATTACATTTATGGCACACATATTGTTTTTTCATTGAAAAATTCAGCCAGAGCAAATTTAAAAACTTTATTACCACCTTCAGTTTAACGGTACATCAGCTAAAAAACAATCACAAATAAATTTATGATATAAAAAAAACTTCAGATTAACTTTCTTTTTTGAGATTTTTTTTTTTTAACTGAAAATATTTGTCTAAAAATTATTGAGTTTCATTTCTTAATGTTTAATGTAATCGCTTTTTATTGCAAGTAGAGTTTAATTATTGGTTAGTAAAAAAAAAAGTGAATTTTTAAGTTTGCGCAGTTTGGAAAGGTTTCTATGATAATATTTTCTTATTTAAATATGACATTAAGGAAGATAAAAAACTTGAGGCTCTAAGTAAATATTTACCATTTTGCAATTGTACATTTAATGAACCCAAGATGCATCTAGATGTTTTTTTAATGTCGTGACAGATGTTAAACACTATTTCAGATGGTAGACTATTCTACAAATTTGTGAATTCCATATTTGAAAAAAACTTTTAAGACATCTGTCTTACAAAACATCTTTTTCAATTTATAAGCATGATTGCATGTTGTTAAGTTGGAGTTGAATAAATACTAGCTAAATATATAATCATATATTAATATTAAGAAGTGGCCATATTAACAGGCATGCTATTACAACTCAGATTAACTTCTTACTGGTCTGTAATTACAACAATTAATATAATGGCTGCGTAGATGACATTCTTCTGACACAGGTGTTGATAGATAAAATACTGAATGGTATTTTATGAAGAAACAAAAGGGTTGCAACTACAATTATAAAGATTGTGAATGCATTTGTAAGTTTCTGCCATGTCATTGCATAAGAAAAGATAGCTTATGCTAGTTAAATTTAGTCTCAGTAGTCTTTGGTTGTAAGTGAGTCCAGTCTGGCCAAAAACAAATTTATTTGACTAGCATAGAACATTTTAAATTAATTGTTGATCTTTTTAAAGTCTAGGATAGTAGACAGAGCAGCAAGAATCAAGGTGAGGACGAACAAGGAAAATAAACAAAGTACGAAATGTCAAGATATTGAGATTGACAAATGATCTTTTGATCATTCCTACAATTTTATTGGCGGTGTTATTCTTAGTATATACAAAATAAAAGTCAAATTATTGTCAATGAAGATCCCTTTATTTTTTTTTAGAGTTTTTAATATTTTTTTTAATATTAATTGAAGTATTGAGGTTTTTATCAACAAGTTTATAAATGAATTTTGTATTTGTTGGTCCTAAGAGCATTGTTTGTCCTAAGGGAAAATTTTGTATTTGTTGGTCCTAAGGGTATAACTTTACATTTTTTTACATTAAAACTTAGTTTTCATAGTTTTTCCCAGTTTGCTATAATGTCCACACCTTATTGCAAGTTATTGCACGGTGAGCTATCAAAAAGCAAACTGTATAACTTAGTATCATCTGTAAATACAGATACATCTAAAACCAAATCAGAAAAATCTTTATTATATATCATAAAAGTAAATAATAAGGGACCTCACTATTTACTATTATCCATTCTGAGTATGTACCACTTACAATGATACTCTAATGCCGATCTCTTAGGTAACATTAAAATCCAATTGTAGAGTTAGTCATTTATTCTATAAGCTTTTAATTTTAGAAGTAGGAGTTGTGAAATGTGTTAAAAGATTTCAATATATCTGATATAAATTTTCTATATCAGTTTTATTCTCCAAGGCCAGGGGCGGATCCAGGGTGTCGCGAATGATGCGCATGCATCAGTCTTTTTTCACCGCTAAATTTAAGTGTATCTCTTTTTCACTTTTTTTTCTTAATAAAAAGTAAAAGGAGGAATTGGAATCTGGTATTCACAAAAAATGAAAAACTTGTTTTAAACTCGAAAAAAATTCATTTAAAGTCAATTTTATTTGATCTCTATAGTTACTTATTCGATCTCTATAGTTACTTATTCGTTACTTAGACAAAATTCCTGCGTTTTGGAGCAACTGATGCAATTGTTCTTCACTAAATACAAATGTGATTAGTTTAAAAAAAAAAAAAGTACGTTTTAACCAATCATATTTGTATTTTTTCACAAATTTTTCCGATCACTTTGTAGCAACTGATGCAATTGTACTCTAAATCATTAATGATTAATTAAAAAACAGTTTAAACCAATCACTATTTAATAAAATAACAATTGCATCAGTTGCTACAAAACTTCCGCAAAAAACTTTACAAAAAAGATAAGAAATGTTATTTATAACCAATCAAATTTGTAGAAAGTTTAGAACAATTGCATCAGTTGCTATAAATCGTTCAAATTTTATAAAATTCTGATATGCCGCCCGATATACGTTCTTCGCTCGTAATTTTCGTCGTTGGACTTTGCTTGTAAACTAAAGTTTAAAAAAAAAATTAATTTTTTAGTCTCAAATGCAATTAAGGCTAGGCATTTGCCAAATATTCGCAAATATAAAAACCAGTTGACTGAAGAATTGAAAGTTTTAAATAATAAGAGTCCAGTTCAGCCGCATAGTCAGTCTTCTGAAAATACTGAAATGGATCGTTTTATCCCAAAGCAAGAAGATACTAAAGATTATGTTGCTTTAAGGTAAAACCCTATTATAAAAGTTAATGGTATTTTATATTTCCAGCTAGTATTTAATATAAACTGAGCTTGTTTTAGTATACTTTTTATTTTATTTAAGGTCATCTGAAGATGGAAATTGCCGGCAATTTCCATCTTCAGATGACCTTAAATAAAATAAAAAGTAGAAGCATGCCTCTGGCAACTGTAGAGGCATGCCTCTACAGTTCAGCTTCACTTTTAAGCAATTGGTCTCTGAAGACAGTTAATGTATTGAGGCTTCTAACTTCGATTGAATTGTTTGAAAAAGTTTGCTACTATGCGAGGTACTCCCTTTTTGTTAAATAGGTTAAAAACAATAATTTTTTTAATCTTTCCAGTGTTCTAGTAGCCTGTGTTTCTTTTGAATGTTCAGATCAATTTAAATTAATTAACAGTGAATCTGCTTCTGAAATTATAATAATGGAAGCATTGATCAACTGCCGAGCTAACAAGTTTTCTTCATTTTTATGTCTAATTGCTTTGTCATCAGTTTTATATATTCCTATTAGATCAATTTATACTGATTTTGGCTTAGAAAAATTCAAAAAACTTTTTAATACAATTATTTTGCCATTTCGTTCAATTAAAAATCAAGATCAAAATGTTTTAAATATTTTATGGTGTAAAACTGATATTATGTCAGTGATGCAAAATAATTATAACTGGACACCGAACCATTTTGTACCAATTATTAAAAAACCTAAACTAATTTCTAGTAATAATAAGAATTTGGCTATAAAAAACGATACTACTTATCATTTACACTTTTTTAGTCCTAAAACTGAAACAAATAAAAAAAAACAACTTGGTTCTGCAAAACATGTCAAAATTTAATCTAAAATTAACTATAAAAAAGACAATGCTTTCATAGAGTTGCCTTTTGAACCTTCTGTAGATTCAAAAATAGTTAAGTCATTAGGCTCCAACTCAGTTATTATTCCTTCATATAATGAATTAAATTCTTTGTATGATGTTTCAACATATCTTGTTCGAGGTAAACTTTTAACTGCTGGCAAAGATGATTCTATTTTGTTAGATATGGTAAACAAAGTATTTTGTCCTAATTCTATGTTTGTTTTTCCAATATCTTTTAATACAAAAAGATCATTTAAATTTGAATGGCTCAGCCAGTTTTCTTGGTTAGCTTATTCTAGCAAAGAAGATGGAGCATACTGTCTTCCTTGTACTTTGCTAGGTGCTAGTATTCCAAATAAGTCTGAAATATTAAATTTAGTTTTCAAGCCCCATCAAGAGTGGGGTAATGCTGTTCGTGATTATAGAAAACACGAGGAAAGTTGTGTTTACATGAAAAACCTACGCTTTTATTTAATGCATTGCTTTCACGTTGCAACTCCAAAAGTAATGTTATTGAGCTTGATTTAAATAATTCTCGTTTGAAACTTCTTTCTGATAACAGAAAAAAATTAGTTCCAATAATTAAAACAACAATATTTCTTGGTAGAAACGATCTAGCATTTCGTGATGCTAGCAAATATCATCCTGATATTGGGGAAGCTTCTACACAAAAAGTTGGAATTAGTACCTTCATAGAGCTTATAAATTTTTGTGTTGATACTGGTGATCAAATATTAGCTAATCATCTTTCTTCAAGTCCAAAAAATGCAACCTATATATCAAAAACTACCCAAAACCAACTTATTGATTCTTGTGGGAAAGCAATTGAGAAAGTTTTAATAAAAAATGTCAAGCATTCAATTTTTTTTTCAATTCTTTGTGATAAAGCAGTTGACTGTTCAAATACTAAACAAATGTCACTTGTTTTAAGATATGTAAATTCAAATAATGAGATTTGCGAGGATTTCTTAAGATTTATTGATTGCAAGACTGGTACATCTGGTCTTAGTCTCTAAATGTACTTAATGCACTTCAAGAGTTTGGACTTGATATTCAAAATTGTAGAGGCCAAGGGTATGGCGGTGCGGGTTGTATGGCAGATAAATATGAAGGAGTTGCTTCTTGAATAAAAGCTCTTAATTATAAAGCTATATTTGTTCATTGTGCAAGCCATAGACTTAGTTTAGTAGTAGCAGCTGCATGCCAAGTTCAAAAAATAAAAAATCTTCTTGGCCAAGTAAAAGAAATTTCTTATTTTCTTAACTTATCTCCTAAACGTAGTAACTGTCTCAAAAAATATTTAAGTCCAAATCAAGAAAAAATAATAGATACTTGTCGAACAAGATGGGTTCAAAAGCTGAGAGGTCTTGATGTTTTTTTTTGATAATTTTAAACCTATTATTCATGCTTTAGAGGAGATGGGGTTAAATGAATCAAAGGAATATAACAGTGAAACTGCTTCCAAATCCTCTTCTTTTTTAAGATTATTAACAGATTTCTCTTTCATTGTAAGTTTAGTTATTACAAAACAATTAATGGATTTTTTTAATGCAATTACTGTAACTCTTCAAACTAAATCTTTTGACATATC